TATATTTTCTATTTTAATATTGGTAATCTGTCAAATGTGATTGTCGTGTATTGAATTTAAACTTTCTTGTTTTGAATAGGTTGATTTTCAACAGGTTAAAATGAGGTATTACAACATAAACATATTAACTCCCTACATCAAATACACTGAAAAATATAATGGTACAGAGAGAGCAGCTATTTTTAGAGTTCGGGAGGTTTTCGTGGAGGTGTGTATGGTTGTTTGAGATAGGTATATAGTGGTCTTCTTGTAGGTATAATTTGTTCGTTTAGGCATGTTACATCAGGGCAGTTGTTGAGGAATTTATTAATTTCATAGTTTTCCATTATTTCTAAATAGTAACTTTCATTGATATGATGAAGGATTCTGGAATTTTTATCTTCGTTAAATTCATGTTTTCAGTTAAATGTTAAGTGATTTCCGAAGTTGGAGTTATTTTTGTGTTGATGTTCTCTTATTCTTTTTCTAAGGCTTCTGCCTGTTTCTCCAATGTACGCTGCTTTACAAGTGTCGCATTCTAGTATGTACAGGGTGGGCAAATTTGGGTGTTATTATAGGCTATCTCAGAAACTATAAGAGATACGAAAAAAGTAGGTGCCATGTCCCGGTCTCTTTTTCCGAGACTAATCCAATCCCGCAAAGACCAAACCTGTATCTTCTTTTGTTTTTAAGTTATAGCCAAAAAGTCAAATTTTCGCGATTTCAAAAAATGCTTATATTTAATTTATTTTTGAAATTGGAGAAATAGGGTTGATACGTTCTTAAGACACTTTTTTGAGTAGAATATACTGCCGTTGAAAAATTTTAAATATACTTGTTGGTTTTTGAGATACAACATAAAGTTGTGTTTTTTTAAATATAAACTATACTTGATTATGATGTTACTGAAAAGAACATACTTTTAGCTTTCCAATGATGTATCGCATGTATGGTGTATTTGCAGAAAATAAGCGTTATTTTTCAATTCTAAAATTGAAAGATTATGGTTCAAAATTTTAATTGTAGTAGGCGAGGAAAACGTTAAATGCCACTTAGTTACTATGGTAACGTCAGTTTACTTGTCATTTCATTCATAAATTTTTCGAAACGAGTTTCCCGATTAAGAAGTTCCACATTACCTTTAAATAAAACAATAAAATTAGTAAAAGTCTTTAGACTTTTATAATGTTTTTTATTGTTCAAAATGGTTTAGTAAGAGATAATTTAAAAATAGGGAAGAAATTTTAACGCTTTTTAGTTGTCAAAAATAATAATGGTATACTCGGTATACTATAATTTTTTTAATAAGTTAATGGTTTTTCTTTAATACTGTAAAATTTAACGGATAAAGCTAGTTATGTGATGGAGCTCTTCAAACATTAAACAAAAATTTAACCATCAAAGTAAATCACATCAAATTTTCAAATTGTCCCCCGTTATTTTGGATACATAAATTGCACCTCTTTGCTACAGTATTGACGGCATTTAAAATATGTATGTTCGAAAGTGACGTTAAACACTCTTCAAAATTTTCTCTTAGCTGAACAATATTCCTATTACGTTTTTTTGTAAAGTTCGTTTTTGATGTGGCCCCAGAGAAAAAAATCTAACGGGGTCAAATCTGGGGAACGAGGTGGCCATCTTATGGGTCCATTTGTGGCAATCACCTTATTCCCAAAATTTATACTTAAAAGCACCGAAACATCTCTAGTGCTGTGAGGTGGAGCTCCATCTTGTTGGAAATAATATTTGTTTGCTTCCATTAATGGGATTTGGTCCATATAATTGTTTATAATATTGTCAGATATGATTTGTTGGTACCTCTGGCCATTTAATTTTCCATCGTAAATTTTATACACTAACATACCATTTCCAAGAAGTGCGCACCAAACGCTGAAGCCAAATCGCCCCTGACTCTGAATATCAATAGTTTGATGAGGATTTACATCGGACCAGTAATGGTTATTATGACGATTAAAGATACCATTGCTAGATATATAGCATTCATCACTCCAAATAATTTTTCTTGGGAACGATGGATCTTCTAAACATTGTTGTTCGAACCATATACAAATGTAGACGCCTTTGAGAATCCCCTTCTACAAGCTGTTGACGTTTCCGTATTAAATATGGCTTAAATTTATTGTTTTTCAAAACAGTTAGAGCACGGCGTCTAGAAATTCCTGAATCCGCTTCAATTTGTCGACTGGAGATGGATGGATCTGCAATGACGGCTCCAATTACATCAATTGCGACATTTTCAGCACCTTGAATTTTATACTTTTGTGGTCTTGATTTTTTAAAACATCCATAGTTGATTAAATTTTCTTTCAGGCGGTTAAAAATTGACTTATGTGGTTGTTTCCGTTCTGGGTAGCGATTTAGATATGTTTCACACGCAGCATCAGCGTTGTCATTATTGTGAATAAAACATTCCAACATATCATACTTTTCATAGTTACTGAATTCCATTTTCGAATTGAATGTTATTTTATTAGTTTAAAAAAAAAACTGAAAACGCTAAGACTACCTATCACAATTTCTGACTTCAGTTTTTTAACTAGATGACAAATAAACACACGTTACTATAGCAACTAGGTAGTATTTACTGTTCGAACCCGCCTACTATAATCAAAATTTTGAATATTAGCCTTTATTATTTTGGAATCGAAAAATAACGCTTATTTTCCGCACATACACCATGCATGCGATACATCATTGGAAAGCTAAAAATATCCTCTTTTCAGTAACATCATAATCAAGTATAGTTTGTATTTAAAAAAATACAACTTTGTGTTGTATCTCAAAAACCAACAAGTATATTTAAAATCTTTTAACGGCAGTGTATTCTACTCAAAAAAGTGTCTTAAGAACGTATCAACCCCATTTCTCCAATTTCAAAAATAAATGAAATATGAGCATTTTTTGAAATCGCGAAAATTTGACTTTTTGGCTATAACTTAAAAACAAAAGGAAGGTAGAGGTTTGGTCTTTGCGGGATTGGATTAGTCTCGGAAAAAGAGACCGGGACATGGCACCTACTTTTTTCGTATCTCTTATAGTTTCTGAGATAGCCTATAGTAACACCCAAATTTGCCCACCCTGTACACACCATTGTCGTCCAGTTTATTTATTTTGTTCTTATTGTTTATAAGCATTCTTTCTAATGTTTTATTTGGTTTGAAATTAAGATTTATATTATATTGTTTTAAACTCTGTTTTATTTTATTGGATATGTTGCCTTGGAATGTTATAGCTCTATAATAAATACTTTGATCTTCATTGTGTTGATTCTTTAGAGTGGTACAATTAATCATTTTTTGTTTTTTCTGTTGTTTGTTTATAATATTATTTATTATGTAAGTTGGGAAGTTATTATTTTTCGCAACTTGGTAGATTGTATTTATTTCGGTGGTAAGGTTTTCTGTGTTCATTTTTGAATTGTATGCTCTATGTATGTGTGATCTAAAAGCAGCTAGTTTATGTGCGTTACAGTGATATGAGTCGTAGGGTATGACTGCATCTGTCTGTGTTGGTTTTCTGTATGTGTTAAATATAAAACCGTTATCCTGTGTTCTTTTTATGTTTATGTCTAGGTAGTTTATTTCGTTATTTTTCTCTTGTTCTATCGTAAATTGTATCTTGCTGTGTATTGAGTTAATATATTTATGAATCTTGTTTATAGTGTTGTTGTCTTTAGTATTAACAATGACTAGTATGTCATCTACATACCTTTTCCAAAATTTTATGTTTTCAAAATATGGATTATTATCTTTATTAATTATAAGTTTAGTTTCCATCTCATTTAGAAATATGTCAGAGATCAAACTGCTCAAAGGAGACCCCATTGGTAAACCCTCTTCGTATGAATATATATTATTATTGAATTTGCAGAAATTTTGTTGTAAACTGATCTCGAATAGGTTGAAAATGTTATTACGATCATTTAGGTCTGTTATGTTATGTGATAGAATGTCTTTAATAATGTTCAATGTTTGTCTGGTGGGGATGTTGGTATACAGGTTGACGATGTCGAAGGATAGAATAGTAAAATCTTTTGGCAGTGACATTGTGCTCAGTTCTGTTATTATTTCTGATCTATTCCGAATAGTGTGTGTTGGTTGGAAGTTAATATTTGTTTTGAAAATGTCTATTAGAAATTTTGATATTTTGTAAGTACTTGAGTCGATGCTGGTTATTATTGGTCTTATGGGCATGTTCTGTTTATGCAGCTTAGGCAATGCATACAATCTAGGTATTTTCGGGTTCATTGGGATGATTGATCTTACATTTCTGCCATATTTCGTTAAAGTAGTTTTACTATTGTTTATTATTTTCTTGACTTTTTCATGGAAGGAGTTAGTAGGATTTTTTAGGGTTTTTATGAAATTGTTATCGTTAAGGAATTTTTCGGTTTTTTCTATATAATTTATCTTATCCAAAATGACTAAACCTGCACTTTTATCGCCCTTAGTAAAGATTAAATCAGTTTTTTCTATTTTCTCTTTGATGGTTTTCAATGTCTTTTCTTCATTTTTCCATTTCTTTTCTGTTTTTTCGTTGTTCTTTTTCTTCCTTTTTGTTATTTTAGTTTCTTCTTTCATTAGTATTTGTTGTAAAGTTTTGTGTATTTCTTCTTCTTTTGGCAGTCCTCTCGTAGCTGCTTCTAGTTCTAATGCTGTTTTTCTGAGGTTGGTTGTTTTATATATGGAATATTTCAGTCCTTTTTCTAGTAAATTCATTTCGTTTTGATTAAACGGTGTCTTTGACATATTTGTAACTCTTTTATGAAATTTATGTGTTGTTAAATTCTCTCTTGTTGATGTCGTATTCCTATTCTTCTCCATTCTTTGTTCTTCTCGAAGTTGTTTCAATTTTTTGTCTTTCTTTTCCCATTCTCGGAGTAATTTCTCCTTCTGTGTTTNTGTTGTTTTAATTTTAGTTTAGTTCTTCGGTACTCTATGATATCGTTGGTCGTACTAACCATTGTATTAATATTCATTTTTTTTCAATAAAGTATCACATACATGTTTAGTTGTTCAAAAAATTGACGTAAGTTAAAATGTAAAATTGTATAATAATAGAAAGAGTTGTAAAATTAATAACTTTAGGAACTCCTGAAGATGCTCCGAAAAGAGCGAAACCGGTAGAGTGATAATAAACACATTTCACCTTTAAGTGCAAAATTTATTTAATTGAATTACCCAGGTGAAAAGAAAACAAAAATGAATATTTTTCCTTTATATTTCCACCTACTTCTCGGGCTCATATCTTCATTATCTAGAAAGATAGCGAAAAACTAAGTACACGGTTGGAAAGCTTGGTCTTTTCTCTATCTTAAACCGAGTTTTCGGTTTATATGTTAGATATGTTGATATATTGTTGATATTCGCCGCGCTGCCACGAATTTTTGCCGCGGCTAAACCAGGCAAGGTTGGGTCAATAACTCTCTTATTTGACGAGGAGGAAACTCTAAAACTATATTCATCTTATGCGAAATTTTCTGCTCTTTTCATCGGTATATAACACATCTCAATCATACGTTTGCACAATCGTTTTTCAGCCTAGCAACAAACTTTGTCCCTTGTATTTCCGTCTACTTTTCGGGTCAATATTTTCGTTATCTAGAATGATAGCAAGAAACTAGAAACACGGTTGGAAAGTTTGGTCTTTTCTATATCTTAAATCGTGTTTTCGTCGGCCGATATGTTGATAATAAGAGCAGAAAAAAATAAGAAACGACACACTCCATTTAAGTCACCTCAAAATTGCCCAACTTTAAGGCCTTGTGAGACGGTACCGGTACCAGACGATTTTCTGCTCTTTCTAACGGTGTATGACACACTTCAATCACGCATAACATGTTTCTAAACGTAAAACTAAAACTAGAACTAACACTATCACTAGAACTAACACTAGACTTAGAACTAGAAACTTTCGGGTTCGCTTCGAACTTGTTTTTTGAAGAAGGTTGCAACATGGCATCCAAAACGTCAAACATTTGTGAAATGAGGTTAAGATGAGGTTAAGATGCTCTCTCGGGTAAAGGATTGTCCTAATTTTTCCTTCATCAAATAAGAAAGTTAGAGTAAGAAGTGATTGCGTTCTGCTACCTGTGGATTGTCTTTCAGGTGCGTTTCTTTTACAGACGCCAGCTGATATTGACGGACGAAAAGTCGGAATAAGATAGTTCAAGGTCAGCGCTTTCCGAATATGTAAACCATTTATTGAATTTCTATCTGGTAACGGCTGCACAAGGCCGTGAAGTTTGGTAATTTTGAGGTACATTTAAGGAGGACATTAAGACTAAATAACTTAAAAAATACAACCCAGAATTTCCATAAACAACCTTCAGCAGCAAAAGACAACTTTGAAAATATGGAAATTACAACTTTTTGGATAAAATGTTATCATAACTATCCATTAATCGCGGAAATGGCTTTGAAATTTTACATAGTTTTCTATTTTAATGGACATTAAGACTGAACAACTTAAAAAATACAACCCAGAATTTCCATAAACAACCTTCAGCAGCAAAAGATGATGTTGAAAATATGTAAATTACGTCTTTTTGGATAAAATGATATCATAAGTATCCATTAATCGCGGAAATAGCTATGAAATTTTGCATAGTTCTCTATTTTAATGGTCATTAAGACTAAACAACTAAAAAAATACAATCCAGAATTTCCATAAAGAACCTTCAGCAGCAAAAGATGAGTTTGAAAATATGGAAATTACAACTTTTTTGATAAAATGTTATCATAACTATTCATTAATCGCGGAAATAGCTTTGAAATTTCACATAGTTTTCTATTTTAATGGACATTAATACTAAACAAGTTAGAAAATACAATCCAGAATTTCCATAAACAACCTTCAGCAGCAAAAGATGAGTTTGAAAATATGGAAATTACAACTTTTTTGATAAAATGTTATCATAACTATCCATTAATCGCGGATAAAGCTTTGAAATTTTATATAGTTTTCTATTTTAATGGACATTAATACTAAACAACTTAGAAAATACAATCCAGAATTTCCATAAACAACCTTCAGCAGCAAAAGATGAGTTTGAAAATATGGAAATTACAACTTTTTGCATAAAATGTTATCATAACTATCCATTAATCGCGGAAATAGCTTTGAAATTTTACATAGTTTTCTATTTTAATGGACATTAAGACTAAACAACTTAAAAAATACAACCCAGAATTTCCATAAACAACCTTCAGCAGTAAAAGACAACTTTGAAAATATGGAAATTACAACTTTTTGGATAAAATGTTGTCATAACTATCCATTAAACGCGGAAATAGCTTTGAGATTTTACATAGTTTTCTATTTTAATGGACATTAATACTAAACAACTTAAAAAATACAACCCAGAATTTCCATAAACAACCTTCAGCAGCAAAAGACGAGTTTGAAAATATGGAAATTACAACTTTTTTGATAAAATGTTATCATAACTATCCATTAATCGCGGAAATAGCTTTGAAATTTTGCATAGTTCTCTATTTTAATGGTCATTAAGACTAAACAACTTAAAAAATACAATCCAGAATTTCCATAAACAACCTTCAGCAGGAAAAGATGACTTTGAAAATATGGAAATTACATATCGTAACATTATTGAAAATGTAAGAATTACAAAAGATCTCTCAATTTGGAATGATGAATTTCAACGTTATTTCCCCAATTTAGATGATAAAGAAGAACATAAATTCTCACGTAATCCATTCAATTTCGATATAAACAACCTTCCAGAACACAAGCGAGAACAAGCAATCGACTTGAAGCGATTGATGACTTTGAAAATATGGAAATTACGTCTTTTTGGATAAAATGCTATCGCAACTAAATTTTTCATACATTTCTCGACTACCTACTTATGCGAGAAAGGGTTTTCTATTTTAATAGACATTAAGACCAAACAACGGAATAAACTTGCTAGCGGCCTACGTTGTGCACTTTCAAAAATACAATCCAGAATTTCCCATTTTATAAGAGAAATTCAGCACCACTCTTTACATTAATGGTTTAAGATTTAGA